TGCTATTTGAAAAGAAATCAGGTGAAATTCTTGCTGTCTATATTGTTGTTGCTGCTGTGGTTGTTGTTGTTGTTGGTATTTGTGGAGCTCGTTGCGCCCGTTGTGTGCCGTTAGTTTGTGCAAGTAAACAATGAATATGCATGACTTTTCCATGAAGCATCCCAGGCGCTGCAACCAACACTCAAACAACAACAGCAACAACAATGCAACTTGTACCGCATGAAGAACAAAAAAAAGGGAAAAAGAAGAAGAAAAGCGAAGCAAACTCCAATTTACGAAAGTGATACGACGCTTGGTAGCAAAAGAAAAATACATTTGAATGCAGATGCTGAAGAGGAATGACCATTAGAATACCATAGACTCAGATGACAGACAAGTTCTATGACAATGCAACTTGAATAGGATATCGAACCCTTAAGTAGTGGGAGAAGAGCTGGCAAACTATAATAGCAAAAGCTGTAATACTAATTGTAGGAGCACTGAGTAACCCTCGTTCGAAATTCGTACAGGGTATTTGACAAAAATCTGAATAACAGTAAAACAAACAACAGCAACAACAAATGCTGCATCAGTGCAGATGACGAGCGCTGATTAATTATTTTTTTTACCGATGACAAGATCATCCGTCTGCCCCAGCATACAAATTGATTAGAAATGTTGCCAGAGTTTCGTTTTCCGGCCGACTTGCAGCCCACCTGGCTCTGTCTCCTGTTCTGGCTGCCGTTGCATTCTGCAGCAATTAGTAAATGTCAAATTCCGCGTGCAACTGCAGTGAATGTCGAAATTTATTGCAGCCAAAGCATTCAAATGTATCAAGACGAGCCGGGCGGGCGCCTGGAAGTATGCAACGGAAATGCATGTGATTACGTTATTGTCGAGGGAAGCGTAAAGTGGACTGCCAAGCGAGAAAGAGTGAGAGAGGAGAAGATGAGGGAGAGAGACAGAGAAAGAGAGTGAAGATGTGCAGCCAAGTCATGCACATCATACTCTACGTGAGCACAAGCCGTCTGTATCTATATGTATACATGTGTGTGTGTGTGTGTGTGTGCATTGCTGATTAAAGGCCTTCGTATAACGATGAATTGTTGCAATGCCCATTAATATTCGTATGCATATTTTATGGCACCTGTCTGCCAGCTGTTTCAATAACTTAAAGAAAACACAAAAGCAAAAGGTGACAAAATATGCTTTAAGAAGTTAAGGTAGAGCTGCAGAATAAATTTTAGAAAAGCAAAGAGATTATATCAAATATTTATGAGCTTTATGAATTGCATTAATTGTTAATGCCAGATCCCATTAACAGGATTGCTCCTCCCCCACATAGCCCGGCTGTGCTATTAACAGCACTCTGTTGATGTAAATTAACAGCGTTCTGTTAATGGTACAACCGTTGGCTCTCGTCACTTGCCTCTCCTGGCTTTTATCTCTGACTTTTTCACGCCCTTTTTGACATGTGTACAAGTACAAATTACATCGCCATCTTTCAAGGCACAAAATAAATAATTTTTAAAATCAAACCCACGTGTCCTCACTTATCACGACTCCACACTACAACATTTGGTCTTTTTTTTTTTTTTTATCTATGAATACATATATTAATCTTATTAACGACATTAAAAATAAAAATAAATAAAAATAAAAAATAATGTTTTTGATATGGCTTAATCTTAATCCCTCATTTAATTATCAGTTATTCATTAATCATCAGTTGAAAGATTATGACTAAGGACACAATTATCTTATTTTGCTCTTTATATCTAATTGTGTGCATGTGTATGTATATTGGTGACTTAATGTAAGCTAATAATATCGGAAGATTTGCTTCTACTACTTCTAGTGCTAGGACCAGCTGATATGTGGGCTAAAATCTATAGATGGTCAGATGGTTTGCCAGAGGCCCAAATGCTGTTACCATAAAAAGCTAATTTGAAATTAGTCCTCCCCTGCTTACTTGTAAACTCTATAATTTATACCATTTGATATCAGATTTGTTGCAATTTGAATTCCGAATTTGCACTTGTAAAGTAAATAAATACGATTTGATTTGATGCCCTAAGCTCAGCTGGGAAAATCAGCAAAAATAAACTGAAATTTATATGGCGTACACAGTCCACATATTCAATTTATATTGTGTGTTCTCTGTCACTCTCTATCTCCATCTCTGTCGCTATCTATATCTCTTTCTGTAGGCCTGTGAAATGGCCACAATATTGTTTTCAATTTATATTTATAAATGAATGTTTTGTTGCCTCAATTTGAGTTCCAATAACCATCATAATCTGTGGTATAATTTCTACTTTATAGCCGATTGTTATTGCTGTTGGCTGCTGCAGCAGCAGGATAAAAATTTACACATTGATATGCTTTTACGGGTGCAAAAATGTAAACAAATAAACAAGGAGCCAGCCATCAAAGAGCAATTCCAATGTAAAATGTACCAAGAATAAGACGCACACACACACGCACACTCACATGTCTTGCTATATGTGTTGACAATTTATACGCCTGAATACACACTTAGACAAAGGTTCTGCCCCCCAGTCACATGCATAGACGAGCAGCGACAACAATAAGAAGAAACATGTAATTTGACAATACCAACAAAATGCCATAAACCATAAATTCTTGGCCAAAGCCAAACACTAAAATTGCGCCACTGATAGGGCGAACGGCCTAACGGTGCCTCAGCTCGGGGCCATTGTTTTTTGCTTGTGCTCAGCGCCAGTGGATATTTCTTGAGATCTTCCAGCCAAAAACTGACTCTCGTAATCGCCAGGCAATAAAAACAAGAGCGAACCTTTATCTCAGGCAAAACTGAAGATTGAATGCCCTAAGCAGCCAAAGATATATGAAAGGGCGAAAATATATTATAGATGATTAAGAGATAATAGAGGTAAAATGGATAATATGCATATAGAGTAGATATAAAATTAATATCTTATATATTAAAAATCGCATAAATATAAATGATTAGCCATTTTTATTTTAATCTCTTATATATTTTACATCTACTCTATGTGCATATTGCATATTGTTAACATATTAAAGATACATATAAAATATGAGATAAAAGTATTATAATATTTATGTATATGTAATACAGAATGTA